GAGCGAGACCCCGTCTCTACCAAAAATAGAAAAATTAGCCGGCACGGTGGTGCATGCCTTAGTCCCAGCTACTCGGGAGGCTGAGGCAGGAGGATCGCTTGAGCCAGGGTTTGAGGTTGCTGTGAGCTAGCTGACACCACAGCACTCACTCTTAAATAGAAAGAAATTAATTGGCCAACTAATATATATAGAAAAAATTAGCCGGGCATGGTGGCGCATGCCTGTAGTCCCAGCTACTCGGGAGGCAGAGGCAGGAGGATTGCTTGAGCCCAGGAGTTTGAGGCTGCTGAGAGCTACGCTGACGCCACGGCACTCTAGCCCGGGCAGCAAAGCAAGATACTGTCTCAAAAATAAATAAAAAATAAAAAACAAATAAAATAAGATTGAATTGCCCTAATCACGAGTGCTGAACAGCTTCTGTGATACCTGCCTGTGTGTCTCTCAAACACACGTGTGGATGGGGAAAACCCAGGACGCCCCGCACGTTCTCATTTTTGTATGCCTGACATTCTTGTAGAGTCCCTTTTAGGCTAAAATGACATGGTTGGAAGCCTCGGCTGAATAGCAGCTGGCCATGTCCACGACATGTGATTTTTTTTTTTTTTTCACTTGCTTTAATGCAGAATCCAACACGTGACCTAATTGGACCCTTAAGAGATGCCTATAAAATTCCTAAGTTTCTCCAAGTGAGTCTCCCTGGTGAGTGCCCACATTCTTGTAGCGCTGGCACCAAGCGACAGACTGACTCTTTTTTTTTAAATTTTTTTAAATTTCATTTTTTTTCTTTTTTTTTTTTTTTTTCTATGAGCAGAAATTAAACATTGCAGAGCTGACTAAGTCTTAAAGAAACTCTTCTGCAGGCAGGGCACGGTGGCTCACGCCTGGGATCCTAGCACTCTGGGAGGCTGAGGCAGGAGGATCGCTCGAGGTTCAGGAGTTCGAGACCAGCCTGAGCAAGAGCGAGACCCCGTCTCTACTAAAAATAGAAAGAAATGAATTGGCAAATATACATACATATATATATATATATATATAGCCAATTATATATATATAAGTTTACATACATAAATATATGCAATATATTTATATATAAATATATATAAATATATATATATAAATTTTTATACATATATATAAAAAATTAGCCGGGCATGGTGGCGCATGCCTATAGTCCCAGCTACTCGGGAAGAGGCTGAGGCAGGAGGATCGCTTGAGGCCAGGAGTCTGAGGTTGCTGTGAGCGAGGCTGACGCCACGGCACTCACTCTAGCCCGGGCAATCGAGTGAGACTCTGTCTCAAAAAAAAAGAAGTATTTAAAGGTAGTGAATTGACATCTTTTGATTTACTCTGAAACGCATCACAAAATAAGACGGATTGATGGACAGACACAGGGATGCCTAGATGCCTAGATGGGCAGATGTGATAAAACAGCTATAGTAAAATGTTACGGGTAGAATCTAGTTAAGTGGTAAGTATGCAGGAGTTCACTGTCAAATTCTTACCGTTTTTTGGATACAGTTGGAAATTTACACAATAAAATATTGGCGGGGTGGGGGGGGAACCTTTAGCTACCCTTTCAAAAACATGGCCTCAACTGGTTACACAATGTAGGAAAAATGACACCAAAATAGGACACGATTTTTAGATTCTGCAGCACATCCACCGCAGACCCTCTTGGACCCAGCCGCCCAGGGAAGGCCAGACTGGGTTTCCAACCCTACTCTCCAGGCACCCAGAAAAAAGCTTTTTATTATTATTATTTTTATTTTCTTCTTTTTCTCTTGCTTCTTTTCTTTTCCCAGTGAGAAGCAATGGAGGGGAAAAGCTTTAAGAATCACCAAAGACACCAGCAAGAACACGGGACGAATAAGTACACCATTTCTCTGCGTAGCTGGCCAGGAGGGGTCTCGGGGTCACCCTGCAGATGTCAACTGACTCCCGGTCTGTTGAGCCCAAGGCCACCGAGAGGGACACGTCATTCCCGTATTTCCACCGCGTCCGGCGGCCGCTGGCTTGAGACTTACCTTAAGGACGACTGAAAAGTCGACATCCTTTGTTTCCTTCAGGCCAAGAGGAATCAGGGGGATTGTAAACGCCTCCCTGCGAAAAACACAACAGGGTACGTGAGCACCTTCCACCGGGGCGCCTGGCCCCCCGCAGCCCAGCTCGGGTCCCACCCCCTCCTCCTGCCCGCCCTGCACACACCTGGCCGACGGGTTCATGTCCCACAGGGTCACGCTTCTCCCTCTGCTCTGACACCCACCCTGGCTCCCTATGACCCTGGCCCACTCAGCCTAAGACGCCAGGACCCCCCGCCACCTCGGCTCCAGTTTGTCCCTCCAGTCTGAACGCTTCCTTCTCAACTGCCCTGAGAACCTGTCACGCACCACAGTCCGTGCCTGGGGCGCTCATGGCTCCTACCGGGCACACACTGGACCTCTGTTGTCAGCCCCATGTCCACCCTCCTCTTCCTCTCCCCCCACAGTGGAGCCCACCTCTCCAACACGCCCCACACTCGCAACCCTGGTCTCGTAGGGGGCTGCCCCTTTGGGGCATGTCAGTCTACATGTCCCCTCACTGGAACAAGAAATGCCTCCAGGACAGGGGCCCCATACCTCCTCTCCCTTCGCTGACCACTGGGCAACCGGGAGTGTCCCCCAGCCTGCATTCCTAGGGGCAGGGCCAGCAGGAAGTGCACCAGGCTCAGGCCGGCCCTGTTTTGCAAACAGGGATTGAGCTCCCTGACCTGTAACAGGAGACCTCCTTGGGCAGGGCGAGTGGAGGGTGCAGATGGAAGCCGAAACTGCCTCTGGGGTGCAGCTGCGCTAAAAGCAGGCGAGACCCAACCCACGTGCACGGCTTCCCCAAAGGGAAGCTGGACCCCCAGGCGGAGGACGTGAGGGTGGGCTGCAAGCAAGCTCTGCTCTTCCTGGGACTAACCAGGCACCAAGAAGGAGCACTGAGTGTCCTTAGACCATGCACCGGGGCACCCCCACCGCAATGTGGCACTAACAGGACTCTCTGGGTGACCTCAGGCCTCCCTGAGTCTTCTCGGCTGCACGACCAGATCATTTCTTCCCTGCACGACGGGATCATTTCTTCCCTGCCTACCTCAAAAAGTGTTTGAAGACCAACCGTGCTAAGGAAATGAAGGACTTCGAACACAGAACGTTCTGAATGCAAAGTGTCATGTGGACCCTGCCCAGCCCTCTCCCCTCTTCCCGGGGGGCACAGGGGTTTGCCTGGCCACCCTAGAGCCACGGTGACCACCCCGGGGGCCACGAGTGCATGGCTCCGTGGGGAGCCCCGCCATGGACTCCCCGCTTCTAAGCACAGCAAATGCAAGCACGAAACAGCCTACGTTTATTACTGAAGTTTGGCCCTGCCTCGCCTCCTGGAAGGAGCTTGGACCTTTTGGGCAAAACTCTAGAACCGAACAGCGGAGTGCAGTCTGGGAGGACCTGCCATTCGTCTCACGCCGACGAGGTGTTCAAAACTGCACCAGCAGCCTGTAGGGAGCCGGGCTCAGGACGTCACCAGCGGAGGCTTCAGGCACTAAAGCTTTCCCTGCGGCTCTGAGAGACGCTTAGGTGCTGTGCAGAGGATTGTAATCAGGAAACACACACTCCAAAGCGGACCCGAAGTTCCCGCCTGTTTTCCTCCTGTTAATCCCAGGGGCTGTTTTCCAGCTGAGTTTCCTCTGGGGCCCACCTGTTTTTCGAGAACTCTCCCGTCCCCCCCCACACACACACACAAAAAGTACATGCACCCTTCTTTCTAGCTTCTCAAAATTATTCCTGCTAAGGGACGGGCATTTCCTTCGAAGGTGGCTTGCTGGGACAGGGGACTGCCTGAGCTTTGCTGGAGGCCACACGTCAATATTCCACCACCTCCCTCGGACACTCCTAGAAGGAAGCTTGTGAGTTAGAACGTGCATTTCTCGAATGTGCAGCGGGATACAATTCCGAAGTGACTCCATTGCACCATCTGCTCAGGGAAGTCACGTGGGCCCCATTATCCCTGTTGAGGTGGTTTATACCTTTTGCATGCTCTCCACAGAGTGGCCCAGCGTCAGGCCCTGGGAGGGAAGAAAGCAGGGACACTGGGCCCCACCTGGCAGGTCAGCTTTCACAGCTGTCCACAGAAGCTCCCGGGGTGTCCTCATGGCAGAGCCACCACCCTAGCCTACGTGAGAGGTGCCATCTGCCCACCTGGACCCAGACACTGAGCTCTCCCACAAAGCCACGTCCTGAGATGTCTTTGGACAAATGCATTTTTTTTTTTTTTTTTGAGACAGAGTCTCGCTTTGTTGCCTAGGCTAGAGTGAATCTCCCTCTCTTCTAACTTATCTTGGAAA